TGATGCAGAATCAAAGAGAGACAAGCAATAAGAAGAAAGGGAAGGGAAGGAACCGAGAAGAAAGAGAGGAAGAGAAAACATGGCTACGGCCAATCTCAATTTTAATTAATCATCCAACTGAAATCAACTACAATGAAAACCTAATAAATAGCAGAAAATAACCTAATTTTAAAGGTTTGGGCCAACCCGCTAAAACAAGCCCAACAATACGAAACACAAATAATAAAATCCAATAGCAATAAAATAAATCTCGATGATGTCCGCATCAGAAACCATAGGGTCACTTGTTTCACTACGGAAATGGCGAAGAACTCTCACACAAGGTGTCTCAACTATTTTTTGGATCAACTTTTGATTTTAGCGTCCCTTGACTGGGCCCGTGCAAAAATTATCTTGTGGTCGACCATGTCTGATGATAAAGAGCTTCGAGTTTATCTAGGAAGGACACGGCCAACGATATGGTTTAGAAAGCAGTTCGAGTCCTCCAATCTATGAAAATTCCATTGCTTGATAAACATCACAGGTGAAGGAAAACTGATATTGATTCAATTCCCCTTGCTGATAACACTGCATATTTCAGTTCAAGAACTGTACCCACAGCCAATCTATGCAAGCAAGCAAGTTCATCTTTCACCGTAATGCTGCTACATTCATAACACTGCTCCTCTACCATGGAGCAACATAGAAAATATTCGAACAGCAAATTGAAACCACTTGGTAGTATTTCTTTATGTTTCCAACTCCGAACCAGCATCATCTGCAAACTCATCAGACGGATTTGTCGTAGGGAAGAATTCTTCACCAGGAAACATTTTTTGGAATAGCTGCCAAGATATACAGAAAAATGGACATTAGCCCAGTCAGCGTTATTTCACCATAACAGAAAGGAGTGTGCAGCTCAGTAATCTATGTTCTCTTCGCTAATGAGCTTAACACATGGGAATTCAAGCAGTAAAATCTTCTTGTTAGACAATGAGACTCAGGTTATGGGCTACCTTTGCTGTTGTATCTAGAAGACTATTGTAGTGCAGATGCTCATCTGGCATTGTCATATAGTTGATGGATTCAAATGCACCCTGAAATTGACAGTGACAAATGGAACAATATAAAGACCAAAGAAGCACCTGATGAACAGAAAAAGAAATTAAAAAAAAAAACATATAGTCCCTATCTGTAAGAACAAAGGAGCTCATTGACCATAATATAAATTACTGAGGTAATTGAACATAAATTAAGGTGTGACCAAAAGATATTTGAGACCAATCTAGTTTATGCTTTGGATTTCTATTCATTTTCGTAAATGATGGAAGATATAGAATAAAAGGCAGGACTTGCATTTGAGCTTTATTGATTCAGAAAGAACGAAAATAGGGCTCCTAGAAAAGTGTTATGGTTATTGCTAGAGAAAAAAAAAATACAATTATATAATTAAATTAATCTTATTTAAATCTTGTCTTCAAAATGGTATATAATTATAATTAAATAATTTATTATTTTTGTCTTCCAGTTCTACTCAATTCAACCTTTTGACCCCTGACAGCTTGACCTTTTACTTTTTTCCGAGTCAATGCTCTTGCTTAGAGGTGTCAATCCAGGTGGTCCGGGCCGGGTCGGCCCGTCAACATGTGAGCCCGGTAACGGCCCGCGTGAAAAAAAGCCCGCCCGCTGCGGGTTCCGGGCCGGTTACGGGTCGGCCCACAATTTTGGACTACAACCCAGGCCCGCCCGCTGACCCATCCGGGTCGAGCCCATGCGGGTCACGGGTCGCGGTTCGTTCCGGTTTGGCCCGTATGATTGTATATATAAAATTATAAAAATATAGAATTTTTCCGGTTTGACCCATATGGAGAGCAACTATCATTGAAAATAGGATTTTTAGAAGAAGAATCGGGAGAATACATAATATAGTAGNCGTCCGTCTTGACACCTCTACTCTTGCTGAATTTTAGAACATAGGAAAAAAGATGACACTATAGTTAAAACTAAGGATTATGACATCCCAAAGATCAACCACTATGATCTTTAAGTTTGATTACTAATAAAGAAAAAGGACTTCAACGCAAGGCAGTGCATCATATTATATCAGCTTTGAATAAACATATCATAATAAGAACTTCAAAATGGATGTGTAATGGATAAAATGAGAAATGAAGATATAAGCCAAGTAACTTAAGAGTACTGTCACTTAATGGCTAGAGTGTGTTGTACATGAAATAAAGACTCAAATTTAGAAAATTATAATGATAGTAAAACACATTAGAAGTGGGACAAGTAGGCCAGAATTAACATGGCCTTAAGTGGTTGTCAAAGTCGGATATCTTCGCAAGTTGTAGTAGAGATAGGTAGTGGAAAAGGCTTTATGAAACTAACATCAAGGCTATTGATTATTGAGAATAAGGTTTAGCTAGTAAATACTGTTGCCATAGTCCCAAGCCCTTGGTTATTTACTCAAGCAGATTATGGAGGATGGGGAGATTAGGAGAATAACTATTTCAAACTTAACTTTCCCTACATATTTCTGACTACTTTATCATCTTCTTCAAGCGGAGTATTTTTTTTCAATTTTGATGCATCAAGTCATTCATTAAATTCAATTTCAAAAGAAAAGGATAAAAGCATTTTATCTATTAATGATCTAAAGGAAACACCAGGTTGGTGGACGTGGGTTCTACAAACAGTTGATTCCCAGTTGAATCACACGACCTGTAAAGGTTCCCTCTCGACAGGTGTGGATTAGTTTACTGGGGCACTGTGCTACCAAATATAAATTGGTATGGAATAGCAACATTCTTTTTGTTCAGGAGAGCTCATTAAACTTGATCTTACATCAAATGCATTTTAATTACTGTAATCATGTAGACAAAAAGGGAACATCCAAATGTATATTTATAAGCACGTGATACAAGAATCATCACTTCTTAGATGTAAATGTACAAAAAATCCCCACAAAAGTGGCTTTCACAGTGAAGTTGAAAGAGAAAATTTCACAACTGGATGAATTTCCCAAGTAGCGAATCCCTAACATGCAATGAAAATGTTTCTTCCTCGAGTAGACAATCATATAAAAGCCAGTAAAGCCAGTTCTACTCTTAAAAAAATTTACCAACCCCTAAATCTATCTCAACTGAGGAGAAAAAACTGTTGACAAACATACACAATACTTACACGTCAAATTCATCAAAGAAAACCAGAACAACATTAATCTCCAGAAGGAAACAAAATAGCAAGGACAAGAAACAAACCTTAGTCAACTCTTGCAGATACAAGGCACTCCAAAGTAGGCTGGGTTTTACTTCAGTATTTTCACTGTGATCACCCTTGTTACTTTTTTCAGATTTACCAGAAATAGACACGGAAAACAGGGCATTTATGGCTGAATGTAGTAATTTCTTCCCTTCAACGGCATTATCACACGGTGCTGAAAGATAAGTCACAAACCTGAACAGTGGAGAATACAACATTGATTAAGATTCCAACTGGCGCCAACCTAAAATAGGCAGATTTTTACCTCCCAAGAAATTAAAAATATGGCAATTACATATCCCATCCAGCAAAGTAGTACAGAGGACAAGCTCGACCAAGGTGATAAAACCTTCTCCCCATTCTTACCCAGGTAAATTCAACCCCAGAAAGCCACTTAAATTTATGTCCAGAAGATTTTGCGTACTTATTCCTTTAGGTTAAGTACTTAGTTGAAGAATGAGCATTTAATAGTTCAAACTTCGAAAACAGTAAAGGCAAAATGAAACATGCAACTTACATGCCAGATGGGCAGACAGCCACATTGCTACTCAACTGAAAAACACGAACAGACATCCTCTGATCTGAGCACAAAGCTAGAGAAAGCGAAAGACAGAAAATAAAGCACTGTAATATAAATGTGTCGTAAAATACAAATGAAATATTGGGCTTACATCCAGGAGGAAATATCACCAGACAATTAGCTATATCTGGTTTCAAGGAATTCCTCGTAATGCATATTCCCCGGGCAACCTTCTCTTTGACATCTTGGAGGGCCAAATCATGGGAACTCAGCTTGTGTGAGGAAAAAGGAGCTAATGATGATGTAATCGTAAAAGAGGGAGCAAGAATCAACTGAGCGCTGAATAACTCTTGACCAGAAGCTAACTTGACGCCTTTATAAGCCCCGCTATCCTGCAAGAGTTTCAAACTATCATATGAAAAATGATCTAAGATATTACAATCATAATGTACATTTAATATTTTACATATGCCAAATGAGTGGTTAGTGCACGAACAAGCTGCCAGTGATCCACGTGCCATAAAGCCCGCACGAATATGATCATGCACATGCATGATGATCAAGGACATCAAGTTCATGCACTCACACAGCCCGAGGAGCACCTCACACTTATCCTCTAAAGAGTACAACAAAAGCATATAAATATCGTTTCGAACCTTATCCATGAGTAGGGCCATTACAGGCATTCGCAAAACCTGTATAAAAAGTGTGTGATGAAAATAACCATTAAAGATCTTGTAAGGTCTCTATATCAGTCATCAATGATAAATAGAACGATAGCCAGAAATCAAGGAAAACTGGAAAAGACAAACAACATTTGCCGTTGTATTTTGAGATAATTTCCAGTCTCTTTCAATCAGAGAACAAGAACAGTATACTGTAAATTAAAAAAATGACTTGTAAATAACGCATCCAATCTGAATGATATCTCCAATATCCAATCTTTTAAACGGCATCTTTGGGATGGCCCTCAGAGCGAGGAAACAGGTTGACAATTGTATTGGAAGGCATTCACCTTTAAATACTGTTAAGGAAGTAATTCACGTAAATTAGGCAAGAACATAACTAGAGTTTATTGTGTTTCCATAATTACCGAGTTTCCATATGTGTGTGTAATCTTGTTTTCCTATATAATGAAAGAAGAGGAGGGGAAGGATTTCACCTTTGTCTCCCCCCTTTTCCTACCAACCCTTGTTAACATGGTAACACAGCAATGTTTCTAGGGTTTGGTATTTTCTTCTAATTCTCCTTCCAAGTAAACAGCCCTTCTTTCTTTTTTTTTCCTTTCTTCTTTTCTCCTTTCTTTTCTTTTTTTTCCTCCACTGAAAGTCCCCTTCCTTGTCCGTTCTGATCTGCGTCCCGTGTGGTGATCTTAACCTCCATAATTGAAGTGTGTTGGTTGGGTTGTTGAGAATGGTCGATGTCAACAATACCTGGTGCGTCAAGTGACAGTGTTTGGTGGTTGTCGACTTGTCTTAGAGCTCGGTGGCGGTAGAAAGTGACCGTCGACGGTGTGACGGTGTTCGGTGGTTGTTGTAGGTTCTGATTCCTTCCTTTGGTTTAGGGTTTAGTTGTTCAGTGATTATTTTCTTCTGTCAACAATCTCGCCTCTCAGGTGCCGACGAATTGTGGGTGAGTTCTGGGTCGATGCTGTGCGTGGTTCCTGCGTGGATTTTCTGTTTGGGCTTCATTATTGGACTTTATTATTGGTTGGTGGGTTTCTTCATTTTGGGCCCGTTCTATTTGGGTTTTTTTTTGTTGACTCAAAGATAAGCAACTGATTGGGCTTCATTACTGGGCTCTATTGCTGGTTGGCGGAATTCTTCATTTTGGGCTCGTTAATTTTGTTGTTGGGCTGATTGCTTCTTTTGTGAATCTGTTTGTGGTCCGTTAGTGGTTTGTGTGGATAGTACTATGGTTCAACCTAACTGGACCCATGGCACCTGAAAAGTTGAATTAAAGAAATTAAACTTACTGGGCTAGGTGCGTCGAGGGCTAGGTGTGTCGAGGTCTTTTTGCGGGGTAAGGGTTTATATAACCACTTGATTTTAGACAAGCCGTCTTCTAAAATCTCAGAGAGTGACTCTACAAAGACTGACTCTACCCTTGATGATCAGTGGGATCAAGAGAATAATGCAATCATTGGACTTATGATCAGCAGTATTGAGCCTCATATCGGGTCTTCATCACTCTATGTCTACGGCTAAACAAATTTGGGAGCATCTCAAACATATACATTCTAGAACTGGAAATGTTACTCGAATCTATGAGACATGTAAACAGTACTTTCAACTTAAGAAGGGCTCCTCCAGCCTCGTTGAATATTATAATAAGCTTTTGACTTTGTGTCAGGAAAGGAACGTACATCAACCCTTCCCTTGATTTGAAAGTCATGGAAAAACAGCGGGAAGATATCGATGTTGTGAAGTTTCTTATTGGTCCTCCATCAAAGTTTGAAGCAGTACGGGCACAGATATTAGGTGGAAAAGAGCTTCCCAGTCTTGCAGAGACGTTCTCCCGTATTCAGCGCTCTACTCTCTCAGATAGTACACCCAACGGAGATCGTTCTGCCTTTATTGCTCGGGGTGGCTCATTCAGAGATGGACATAGCGACGAAGTGGACGTTGTGTTAGCTCTCGGGGTGGATGAGACGCTAGAGGCAGTAATCGTTCATTAACTCATGAACCTCGAAATTTACTCACTGTGGTCGTATAGGTCACTCCGTTGATTGCTGTTGGGACTTACATGGAAAACCATCCGGTTCTGCTAATCAGGTCTCCTCTAATGAGGATCATCACCCAGTATTTGATTTTTTATTTGTACCGTGGGATGAGTATGCTGAGTTCTTAGCTCATAAACAGGCAACTTCCACTTCTATGGCCACTCTCGCTCAATCAGGTAGATCTTCTCACTGTCTAATGTCGTCCTCATAATTTGTGGATTCTCGATTCCGGGGAAACAGAACACATGACTAGTTCGTCGACTTCTCTTCTTTACTATCATCCTACTAAGTCTTCCAAATATGTCACTCTTGCTAACAGTTCCCGAACTAGTGTTGTAGGCTCAGACAAAGCCCATCTTAGTCCTAATATTGATTTGTTGGTTGTCCTTCATATTCCTGGTTTTCCCTTTAGTTTATTGTCGATTAGTAAAATTACCACATCTCTTCAATGTTCTGTAACATTTTATCCGTCTCTGTGTGTTTTTCAGGATCTCAAAACGAAGATGATGGTTGGTACGGGGCATGAAGTTGGTAGTTTGTATTACCTGAATCTTTCTCTAGTCACTTCTCCTAGAGCTCTCCAGTCTTCTGTTTCACCCATGCAGTGGCATTGTCGTTTTGGTCACCCTTCTCTGTCTACTTTAAAACGTCAAGTAATAAGTCTTCGTAACGTGTCGTCTCTTCAATGTGAAACTTGTCAGCATAGTAAACATCATCGTGTGTCTTTTCCTTTACGAACTGTTAGTCGTGTTACTAGTTTATTTGAGATTGTTCATTCTAATATATGGGGCACAATTAATGTTTTCTCAAATAAATTTCAGTATTTTGTTACATTTGTGGATGATTATTCTCGTATGACTTGGTTATTCCTAATGAAAAATTGTTTTGAGTTACTGTCTATGTTTCAAGTTTTTCGTACTTTGATTAAAACTCAATTTAACCAGGAAATTCGTACTTTACGATATGATAATGCCAAAGAATATATGTCTGCCTCTTTTACCTCATATCTATCTTCCAAAGACATCACTCATCAAATGTCTTGCGTGTATACTCCACGACAAAATGGAGTTACATAACGCAAAAATCGTCATTTGTTAGAAGTTACTCGTGCTCTTCTTTGTCATATGCATGTCCCTAAACGTTTTTGGAGTGACGCTGTCCTTACTGCATGCTATCTCATTAATCGCATGCCTTCCTCTGTTTTTAACAGTGCATCTCCCTTCTCTCTCGTGTTTTCTTCATCTCCACAGTATTCATTACCTCTCAAGGTTTTTAGATGTATCTGTTATGTTCATCACTTCGGTCCTGGTCGTGATAAACTCGACTCTCGCTCTATGAAATGTATTTTCCTTGGTTACTCCCAAACACAAAAGGGGTATCGGTGCTACAGTCCTTCTCTATAACGCTATTTTGTAAGTGCAGATGTCACTTTTGACAAGTCCACACCTTATTTCTCGGATCATAGTATGTCTTCTGAATCCACTCAAGTCCCCGTTAGCTTACCCATACCATATTTACCTGTTGGTGTTTCTCTCGGGCCAGACTCTGCTCCATCTACTGCACCGGAGTTTTCCTCTTCTCATAAGGATAGAGGTGTCAATCCGGGTGGTCCGGGCTAAGTCGATCCGGTTGAAAAAAAGTTCGCCCGCTACAGGTTCCGGGTCGGCCCACAAATTTTGGACTACAACTCAGGCCCGCCCAATGACCCATCTGGGTCGAGCCCATGCGAGTCACAGGTCGCGGTTTGTTTCGATTTGGCCCGTATTATTGTATAAATAAAATTATAAAAATATAGAATTTTTTTTGTTAAATGTAAACTAAGAATTGAATAAAAAGATAAATTCATATTTATACCAAGAAATGTTTACATAAAATTCAAATTTGATGTTACATGAATTATTCATAACTCTGCAAAGTTAAATTTAACTTAAGCAAATAAAAACTAAATGCATTTCTAATTACTATTATCAAATATTTATAGCATAAATACATCCCAACTAGGTTGGCACCTACTTTTATTATAATTTATAGTTTAAGTACATCTCAACTAGACCGTCACCTACTTAAGTCTTAACTATAATTTAGTTCAAAAATTATATATTTTAATATTTGTTTTCCAATCAATCTTCAGGAACTGCAAGATTTTTGAAATCTCCAGTAACATCATCAATAATTTTATCTTGCATCTTTCGATATGCGAATATCCAATCTTTCACGCATACGAGAGCTTCCAAAATATCTTCTTTAAGTTTAGATATTCTTTCGTCCAATACCATGTTACCTGCACTAAAAGCAGACTCGGATGTCACTGTTGAGACTGGAACTGTTAGTATATCTCGTGCCATTTTAGATAATACAGGGTATGTCCGCTCATTTAATTTCCACCATCGTAAAATATCTAAATTATCCACTTCAACGGCTCTCCCCCCCTTCAAATTTTTAAAAAAATTTTTTTACGGACCCGCGAGTTAACCGCGGCCCGTGAAGGTGCAACCGCGAAGCTCGCGGGTCACACCTCCTTGACCCGTGAAGCGCCCGCTTGGGTCACGGGTCAGTCCACGGTCCCGGGTCGATCCGGGCCAGTTTTCATGGGTCGGCCGGCCCATCCGTCTTAACACCTCTACATAAGGAACCACCTCCTGAGTGGCGAAAAGTTATGGAGTTAGAAGTGGCAGCCTTACACGAAAATAAGACTTGGGAACGCATTCCTCCACGGGCTGGCATACGTCCTGTTGGTAACAAATGGGTTTTTGTTTCGAAATTCAATCCTGATGGGATTGTTGATCGATTGAAAGCCCGACTGATTGCTAAAAGTTACACACAGACCTATGACATTGATTATGATGAAACTTTCTCTCCAGTTGCTAAGATCTCTTCTATTCGAGTTTTGATTTCTATCGTTGCTAACCTTGGTTGGACTCTATTTCAATTGGATATTAAGAATGCATTCCTTCATGGTGACTTGCACGAAAAAGTTTATATGGAGCAACCACCTGGGTTTATTGCTCAGAAAGAGTACCAGAACTATGTTTGTAAGTTGAAAATGGCTCTATATAGGTTAAAACAATCACCAAGGGCATGGCTTAGGAAATTTTCCAAGATTGTTTTAGAATTTGGTCTTCAAAGGTGTCAAACAAATCATTCAGTATTTCATCATCAGACTGGTGCAGGTTATGTTATCTTTGTAGTTTATGTAGATGATATTGTAATCACCGGTGACAATGCAGATGGAATTGCCCGGTTGAAACAGTTTCTACAAAAACATTTCATACCAAAGATCTAGGCAAGCTTCGATACTTCTTGGGTATTGAAGTCGCTAGGTCACGAGCAGGTATTAATTTATCTCAAAGAAAATATGTACTTGATCTGTTAGATGAGACAGGTTATCTTGGAACTCGTCCCGTTGATACTCTCATGGATCCTAATGTAAAGCTTTTGAAGGATAAAGGAAAATTGTATGGAGAACTAGAAAAATATCT